TAATTCGTATTCATTTCATGACAAGCAAAGGTTTTGCAGAAATGGACCCAATGGATTACGCTGCATCCGAAATATATAGAAACCCCCACGGGGTTTGTTCTGCTTTGACCGTAACACTGTGTAAGTGTGATCTTGCATCTACCTCCGATTGACGAAGTTGCTCGAGGCGGCCGTTATTACAGCAGTAAGCCTCAAAAAAACCAATTCATAAATATTAAGACGAATTGTAAAAGTGGCGAATTTACAAGGAAAGGTTCGACCACATCTGTCCAAGAAGGAACACGATAGGTATATCAATGGCTTCATTTCAACGATATTCATGATATCACACGACTCATTTAGCCAATGTACGCAAAAACTTTTCATCCTGCGAGGATTCTTGGCCTTCCTATAATTGAAAACGCTCATCTGTGCTCTTGAGTTTCCGTACAAGGACTTTTATTGGCTTACATGGTACACCGGACCAATGCTGAAGTTGCAGGATCATAGAAGAATATTACGCACGCTTGGCAGAGATCTCACAGGTGGAAATAAGACCATAGGTAAAACGCATTACATCGAAAGGGATTAGTATTCCATATGGAATCACAACGCTACTATTCTAGGCATATGTGTGAGGAGGATTCCGTTTTTTAGTCGTTTCAATTTAAACTAAAAATGTTTACTTTACAGACTGCTTTTGCAGTTTGTTTTTGCTTACACAGTCAGCCGAAGCTACCAGTTTAGAAAAATTTGCTGTTGCTGAAAGCAGTAAGTTAGGGGTAGTTTTAGTCTTGCTTTAGCTTATTTCCCTTGCTTCGTTATTCTCGCGAGTACTCTCATACATACATACATTTACAGCTAAATTTCAAGATCTATACATAGAAGGTCGCGCAATCCGCGAAATAAAAATTGCCTCTCTCTGCGCATATCGTCTCAGGGCGATTTTTTACTTTCACGCCTTCATGCCGAAAATCCACGAAACTTGATTTTTCACAGCGGCCAATTTTTGCGAAATTTGCATTTAACTCGCTATATCTCAGACGTTTATGATTCGATTGATTTGAAATTTGTACACAATAAACTAGATTCTATTCTGAAGAAGATGTGTGTAACTGCACTTCTTAATACTTATTTAAAACGAAATGGCGGATATTTTAACATTTTTATAAAAATTTAGGAGGTGATTTTTACAAATGCAAAAGTTGTGTTATGAAGTTTAAAACGAAAATGGCTATCAATTTATGTAGTTATATAGATAATTAGATACCATTCGGTAAAAATTTCGCTTGCAGTAATTTCTACGTGGTAAGTGCTCCTCCATTACTTGGTTTCATAGGTATTCGGGTACCTTCCTCATTGAAGTAGTAAAGCAAATTCGCTTAAGTACCTTTTTCGGTTAAGTGCACAAGTTTTTCGTACAAAGAAGGATGTGCAGCTAAGCAAAATATACTGTAATATTAAGTGAAATGTTGAAATTCATAAATTTATCAGTGTAATATAACTTATTAAAGCTCTACAGACCTACATACTATGTATGCATATATGTAATTACACACATAGTCAAAATAGTAATTCGTACAGTGATTGTTTTACAACATTTGCAATGTTTTTAATTTTCCGTTAATTTTTCACGAAAATTCTATTTTTCTATTTTAACAAAAACCATATAAATGAAATTTTCAAACTTTTTGCAAAACTTAAAAAATTATAGAAATTTTCATCAAAATTTTGAATGACAGTTTTTAGGGGTGTTACATATCTGCTTCCATGAGCAAAGTGTAGTTTTGCATGGAAGAAAACGTTCAACACCATTGAGAAAATAAAATCTCAAAAATCAAACCAATTTTTCTCTAAAAAATGTGAGTCAAAATTTTGAAATATAGACGAAAATTTTTAGAATTTTTTAAGTTTTGCAAAAAGTTTTAAAATTTAATTCGCATGGTTTTTGTTAAAACATCAACTATATTTTCGTGAAAAACTACCGAATAATCATTACTAAAAACATTGCGAATATTGTGAAACAATCACTGTACGAATAACTATTTTGACTATGTATGGAGTTACGTGAATATTTACTATGTATGTATGTATGTAAGTATGTCTATTCAGTTTAGTAATAGTTATATAACACTGATAAATTCATGCATTTCAACATTTCACTTAATATTACTTCCAAAATTACTTGTACAAGTGCCCAGTAAAAATATTTGTCATCTAGAGGCGAGCGACCGCTCGTGGGTGTCATCCATGATACAATAATTTTTAGAAGGTAGTTCCACTTCAAAATTTTTGACATAAACCGTGTCTGTGACAAACACGCAATGTGGCCACTGCTACGATATAGAACTTGGGGATTTTCGCTTGTTATTTTAGATATTTTTTAACAGAACATGAAAAGATTTATATGTTTCATAACTGATCACTTAATTTTTAATATAAATATACGTATTTAATACATACATTTTTGCCACTGCTAATCATATGCCGTAGGCCGCCTACGCAGAAAGTAATTATACGCAAAAATACTGTGGACGCAAGTAAAAATTGCGATCGGGGGTTGCATTTTTGTCAATGGCGATTCATGCCCTCTCCAAAAAGGTCGGTTGGGGGTGCCACGCCCACTCCCCCTTCGCCCACCGGACCTTTAACGAACGGCCATAATGGAAAGTTTCCCCCATAAAAATGAAAATATAATGGCAATATATCTTGTTTATAATGGATTTGATCCATCGCACCCCACGGACTTTATCGGCCGCCGATTTAAATGGGCCACAACTTATTGGTCGGAGCGATTAAGCTGGTGTAGTGTGCGCACCTCCATACATCTTCATGTACATATTTCAAGCGAGCCCTATTATTTAAATAGGCGGCCGATAAACTCTGTGGTATGCGGTGGCTCTTATAGCTATATCCTTACACCTATTTCGTGTGTTGCAATATCCACGAAAGCAGCAGTTAATTTTTTATGAAGAAAATTATTAAAAAATATTCGAAAATTATTAATTTTTCTAACGTCAAAAGCTGGATTTTTTTTTGAAAAAGTTGGTACAACAAAAAATACGAAACACGTTTTCTGTCAGATAGCTAACATGGCGGATAAGAAGAAGAAGTGAAACTACCTTCTAAAAATTATTGTATCATGGGTGTCATTATAATATTGTTATAACTTTAGAACTACTTGTTGTCTAAACCTGAAACTTTCCCAAAAATATCCGTATATATTTGTCTTTAATGCTGCATTAAAACAAAACAAAAATTTTAAACTTCATCACACAACTTTTGCATTTGTAAAAATCACCTCTTTAATTTTTATAAAAAATGTTAAAATATGCGTAATTTTGTTTTAAATAAATATTAAGTGCAGGTAGACTTATTTAGAATAGTATCTAGTTTATTGTGTACAAATTGCAAATCAATCGATACACAAACGTCTGAGATATAGCGAGTTGAAATGAAAATTTCGCAAAAATTTACCGCAGTGAAAAATCCGATTTTGTGGCTATTTCGACATACAGGTATGAGTAAAAATTTGGTTAAAATTAACTATAAATGTATTTTCGAATAAGCTATCGATTACAATTGGTTTTAAATCGCTACACTTCATTTAAATTTTAGGTTTTTTTACGCTGCTTGTTGTTTTCGCTGTTGTTGTCGCCCAATTTTGCGAGAAAAGAATAACGGACCTGCGCATTGCGCAACCTCTTGTATATAAACCTTGGCTATATTTAAAAAATTTGCTTAAACAGTTGCTTTCGACTGCGTGAATAACGCAGCAAGGAAAAAGGCAAAAGCAAAAATGAGAATACACCAAACTTAGAGCTGAAACACAATGCCGGTGAACGGCGAACTTACCACAGCGAAGTTCAGAGCGAAATGCGGAGTTCGCTCGGCGGCGTTTCGTGGCGATAGATTTATTTCTATCGCCCTACTGGGCGATGGCAGCTAATACGGTAATAACGCAAAATTTGCTTTATTTTACTCTCAAAAGAGAAATATTACCAAAATCTGAGTTTTCCTTTATTTCCAACAAAGGCCGAAGGCCTATAGGCGTTGGCAAGAAAATAATATAGGCAAAGCCAGCTTGCATGCCAGTGTTTTGATAAAAATTTTATCATTACTATTGCACATTCCAAATTCTTTTGGTTTGCAAAATTACATGAGGGATTTGGAACTTTGTCGGAAACATTTCACCCCTTAAGACCAGTATGCAGCTCTCAAGAAAACGGTCAAGAAAAAATTGCGATTATTTCGAGTGTGTGTCCAAGGAATTTTGACATCTGATATTTCACCAGCCTGTTGCCTCACTCTTTCGTCAAGAGTGCGTACTGCTTTAAGAAAATTTTACACAAGAAAATTTCTTAGCCATTTCTTGTACGTCATTTTGTATGAAGTTTTTGCTTTTCTTGAGAGCTGCATACAGGCCTTTATATAGTGACATACCCCCAAGAAAAAAATTGTGTTGTGACATAATCCCAAAGAGGAACCGATCGGTGAACCTCACATCTTCCCCGGTGGAGAACTCTCCCAAACGGAAACCAGGTCCAGCTGACAAAAGGGCCCATATGGGACCAAAGGAACCTAGTGTTAAGGCAACTTTTGCCGATGTCACAAAGGCGCCGACCTGTCAGGCGGACATTGGTAATGGGGTTAGGTTAGGGTTACTCCCCAAAAGGTACCCTAAAGCACTTTGGTCCTTAGACCAACTACAGGCCATTCAGACGGCCATCCTGGAGGAGGTGAGGCGGCAGCGAAAGGGCTCTGTGAAGCCCAAGTTTAGCGGTTGCACCTTCCGTCCGGGATGGATGTCAATTGGCTGCGGAGACGCTGAAACGCTGGAATGGCTGAGCAAGGTATCCCAAACCCTGAAGCCTTGGAAGGGCGCGGAAATTATGGCAATGAAAGCCACTGACGTGCCCAAACCCAGTGTATACGTTGGGTACTTTCCGGAGCCATTAACCCCTCCAGTGGACAGTATCCTTGGCCTTGTCGAGGGTCAGAACGAAGGGATGCGGGTAGGTAGCTGGAGGGTGCTCAACAGGGTACAGAAAGGACCCACCACTGAGCTCACTCTAGCGGTTGACCCGCACTCAGCGGAGACACTCGACAGGCTGGGATACTTAGTCAATTATGGATATGGCAGGGTGCGCATCCATAAAAAAGGGAAGACGACTGAGTCGTCAGACCCGAAGGGTGCGCAGCCTGCTATAGCCAGTTCCTCCTCCGCTGCACAAAGTGCGTGCTTCAAAGAGGGACCTTGCGGTTCCAAGGACGTACCCAAGGGACTGCAAAGGTTACCTTCAGAGCAGTCAGGGGCAGCGGAGAAGGAAAAAGCACCTGTCCAGGAGTCCATAGAGCGGCCCTGCTGCTCAGAAGACACTCCTGGCACGGAAAAGAGGGTACCTTCCAGCCCAGAGAGATCGAAGGCCCTTTTCGCCCAAAATCCCTTCCGTCCTCCGCTAAATGCGAATCGGAGACAAGGTCGAGGGGAGATTTCAATGGAGGAGAAGACCCTGATGGCCACCAATAGGGGGAAAAAGATGGCCAAGCGGGCTTCAAGGCCGAAAAATGGCAAACCCCCCAAGCGATAGGCCTAGGCACATCAAGTGCCTGCAAGTGAACCTCCATCATGCAAAGGCGGCCTCTGACGTCTTATGCAGGAGGTTCAAAACAGAACTCTTGGATGTCGCATTCATCCAAGAACCGTGGGTTTTCGCCGGGGCTATTAAAGGCCTAAACGACTGTGATGGTAAGATAATTTACGATACCACACACTGCAGGCCCAGAGCGGCCATATTACTACGTAATAACATGACTTTTGTTCCCATTTCAGAGTTGACACAACAGGACTTAGCTGCTGTATGGACTAAAGTGCCCACTCAAATGGGAGAACAAGAGGTCGTTCTCGCTTCAGCTTACCTCGCAGGCGACAGCTGTGAGATGCCCACAAGGGAAGTAATAGCCCTAGAGGAGTACTGCAGAAGGAGAAAGCTGAAACTAGTAATGAGCTGTGACGCCAATGCCCATCACTGTGTTTGGGGTAGCTCGGACACCAATTCTAGAGGTGAGTCATTTCTTGAATTTATCACTAAGAACAATTTATTTATTCTTAACCGGGGTAATGAGCCGACCTTTGTCAATGCTAGGGGAGGTTCTAGACTTGACAATTTCCTCAACTAGCTTGTCGACCTTTATCTCAAACTGGCATGTCTCAAATGAGGTATCTATGTCGGACCACCGGCATATTCGATTTGATATAGAAGCCCAAAGAGTAACAAACCATGTTTACAGAAATCCCAGAAAAACAAACTGGGAACTCTTTCGCCTCCACATAGAGCGGGAAGTGAATGGTTCTACGGCACCAATTTCATACGTCTATGAACTTGAGGACGAGGCGAGAAAGTTCCAAGATGTTCTCAAACAAGGTTTTGAAGAGAGCTGCCCACTGAGAACCAAGAAGTCTCAAAGGGATGTCCCGTGGTGGAGCGATTCTCTCGGAAAACTAAGGAAAAGAGCCAGGAAGCTTTTCAATAGGGCAAAGTCAACAGGTGACTGGACCGCCTACAAGTCAGCCCTAACCGCTTACAACTGTGAGCTCAGAAGGTCTAAAAGGGCTACGTGGCGTGAGCACTGCTTAAGTATTTCCTCTCTTCCAGAGGTGGATCGCCTTCAGAAGGCCCTTAAACTAGATCATCTGAAAGTCCTATGCACTTTGAAAAGACCAAATGGTACCTACACTGGCACCCCGGAAGAAACCAGCAGGCTTCTGCTAGAAACCCACTTCCCGGGATGTATTCCCCAAGGCACATGTCTTTCAACAAACACGGCGAACACTGTGTGCGCAAACAGGAGGACAAGAGGCCTAGCAGGAAGAATCGTCAGTGTGGAAAAGATATCGTGGGCCATTTCAACCTTTAGTGCATATAAATCCCCTGGTCCAGATGGTATCTACCCATGCCTGCTGCAGCAGAGCTTGGGCTTAATATCTGGGCCACTAGTAAGATTGCTGAGAGCAAGTCTCTTACTTGCTCACATACCAACAACATGGAGTGAAGTCAAAGTGGTCTTTATACCCAAAGTGGGGAAAAACTCAGCACAACTCCCAAAGGCGTATAGGCCAATTAGCCTCAGTTCCTTTCTAGTAAAGACTCCGGTGACTCAAGTCACTGAAAAGGCATTGCGGTATAAACAGATAGCTTTGTGTGCATTCCTGGACATATCAGGTGCTTTCGACAATACGTCTTATGAAGCAATATCGACAGCTATGATACGAAAGGATATTCCTGTCCTTCTAACGGATTGGATCATAAGCATGTTGAGATCCAGAACCATAATACCGGAACTAGGAGACAAAAGGCAAGCAGTAACTGCCACCCGTGGCTGTCCTCAAGGGGGAGTCTTATCGCCCCTACTTTGGACACGGGTTGTTGACGAACTTCTTGAAAAGCTAAATGGCAATGGATTCAAGGCATATGGATATGCAGATGACCTAGTCATCTACGTTGTCGGCTGGCATGAGGACACAATTTGTTCCAGATTGCAAGCTGCGCTCAGTCTAACGGAAGACTGGTGTGCTTCAAAGGGATTGTCAATAAACCCGCAGAAGTCCACCGTTGTCCCATTTACCAATAGAAGGAAAGTCAACTTGACTAAACCCACTTTGGCAGGGACAGAAATTGAGTTCTCAGAAGAGGCGAAGTATCTAGGGGTAACTCTGGACAAAAGGCTCAATTGGAACTCACATCTCCTTAACATTACCAACAAGGCTACAAGGGCGTTTTATGCCTGCCAGAGACTCCATGGTAAAACTTGGGGAATATCACCCAAACTAACGTATTGGTCTTTCAATACGGTCGTGAAACCTGTTGTCACATATGCGGCACTGGCCTGGTGGCCAAAAGCAAAGAAAGCAAGTGCGTGTGCCACCTTGAGCAAGCTACACCGCTTGATCTGTGTGGCCATCACAGGAGCTATGCGCACCTGTCCAACGGATGCCCTCGGTATAATTACAGGCATTCCTCCTCTATCTATTCTGATAGAAAAGGAGGCCTGCTGGAGCTCCATACGGCTGCCCAATGTAATCAGCATGAAGAGTGGAGATCTTTGGGGTCACTTGGAGGTTCTCAAGCCTTTTCTGGATGATCCCGCTATCAAGCTCACAGATATCATGCTACCGAAATTATCCTTTGATAAGCCCTACAAGGTCAGAATTCCTGAAAGGGACTGCTGTAAAGCGATAATATCTATGATTGACAAAGGGTCCCAAGTATGGTATACCGATGGATCAAAGATGGAAGACGGGAGTACTGGGGCAGGCGTGCTTGGACCAAGGTTCCAGAAAAGTCTGCCAATGGGCTCATACCCAACCATATTCCAGGCGGAGATCTTCGCAATCGAAGTCTGTGTTCGAGAATGTCTTCGGAGAAGGACAAACGGGGCCAGAATAAATATTATGTCGGATAGCCAGGCAGCACTAAGGGCCTTAGACTCATTTAAAACGACATCAAGGCTTGTGGACAGTTGTAAAACTCTTCTGAATAGCCTAGGAGCCCATAATAGAGTTACGCTGTGGTGGGTCCCTGGGCATGAAGGGTTTGAAGGCAACGAAAGGGCTGACTATCTCGCAAAACGTGGGGCCCAAACGCGAATGCATGGTCCCGAGCCTTTCTGTGGTACATCTATAGGATACACTGCAGAACTACTTAGGAGTTGGGAGGAATCTCAGATTGCTGCCCACTGGCGTAAGTCAAAGGGAATGAGACAATCAAAGAAATTCATAACTCCTTCCAAGAGGAACTCAGAAAGACTCCGTGAACTCAGCCGGGAGGGTCTTAGGACTATTACAGGCTACCTGACAGGACACTGCAAGTTAAGGTACCATCTAAACAAAATGGGGCTTTCTGTAGAGACGGACTGCAGGTTCTGTGGGCTGGCGGAGGAAACCTCGGAGCACATTCTGTGTGACTGCCCGCGTATCATGAATAGCAGACTGATGCACCTTGGGGAACGATTGTCTTCTCCATCCAAGATTTGGAACACGGCACCCTCCAATGTGCTTAATTTCTTGAATAGCCTAAGGTTGGAGTGACTACAATCAGGGTTTAGCACAATAGATCTTTTAGGTCGCAGCGCGAGTATACCCGACGTACTAATAATAATAATAATAATCCCAAATTTTAAAATTGGAGTGATGCCACTTGTGGCTATGTCACGGCACCGATTGCTGAGTACGAGGCCTTATGTTTGACAAAAGGGGGAGTATAAGGGACTCAAATGGAGGAAGACTTGCGTGCCGTTTGCGCTTTTCTCTCAAAGTGTTTACCGCTGGTAAACCCAAATAAAAATTAAAATTGAAAACCTTATTAATAAATCTTTAGTAAAATCTGTGGAAAATTAACAATAAACTGTTTTTTTCGCAAAATATATGAAGGACCCTTTATTCTTCGAAAAAAAAACTGTACGATAGTTATTATTTTACACCATGTATATGATAAAAAATTAAAAACTGGAAAAAGGAGTACAAACCCCAAAATATAGTATATTTCCAGATTTTATTTTTTGGGAGTACAAGGGAGTACATTGCAATAAAAAGGATTACGTTTACTCCCAAAAGCAGTACGTCTGGCAACCCTAGGTAGAGCATACGACATTGCAGGGTTAAGGCAAACGCCGTTAAGAGCAGTCCAATGCGAGATAGATGATGTCCATAAATCAGATGTGATTCTGTCCAAATCCCTTAAGGACCCGATAAATATATCTGGATGTCATCGACATATGCATGCAGTTTTACATATTGGCATGTCATGAATATGTCATTTATTAATGCACTAGATAATAGGGGTCTTCACCAAAAGTGATAAACTGTTGATAAACTTGATGAAATTATAAATTTATCATTTTGATAAATGAACTGTCAAACTTTGTAGGGAAAACTATTTAACCAAAGTTTATCACTTTATCAAACGATTTTGGTGGATAAACGTATAAATTTCAGCTAAATTCAACCCTGACAAGACTGCTAGGCGGTCGATTTTGCTACGATCACATAAAAAGCAAATTAGCACAATGGACGAGGTAAGAATGAAACGTAATTAGCCAGATAAGTTAAATAATAAAAAATGTTGTGCAATTATTTAGCAAGGTGCGTTCATGAAAGAATGCGGATAAACTGATAAATTTAAGCAATTTATCCCTTTATCACTTTAGATGAAGACCCCTAATAATCAATAGCTTTATTTATGTATGTTCGATCAGTTTGTATTTTATGAAAATTTAGTTTGTGATAGGCTTGTCTGATCTATTTATTAAGGGCCGGTTGCTCAAAGCCGGATTGACACTAATCATCGGTTAATATCGTTATCGACGTCTTCGGCTCCATGCTTATAACACAGTGTCGGTAACGTCGATAACGATGTTTAACCGGAGATTAGTGTCAACCAGGCTTTGAGCAACCGACCCTTTGTGTAAATAAAACGAGGTTATTTCACTTACGGTCCAGCGTTTCGCTAATCTGCTTAGCATCTTCAAGGGCGTGTTTATTTTATTATATAAATACATGTGTGATATTAAATAAAGGGACAAAAATACATATAAATGGGGCGTTCCATACCAAAATGGACGGGGTTCAGACTTCACGTGTTTGATTTGTTTCAAATTTTTAGGTTTGATGGATAAACATAAAAAATGAATAAATATGAAATTTGGGCTTGGTTAATACATTTTCAAAAACTTTACAGCACAACAAACAAAAAAAATCGATTTGATAGTTTTCCAAATATCTCGAGAACGGGGCGAGGAAAAAATTTAAAAAATCACACATACAGAAATCAAAATTTTCGATGAAAATAAATATAAAAAAAAAAAATTCTTGACAAATTTTTCATATACAATTTTTTTGATAAAAAATATTAGTTTTTGAAAATATGCCATCTCGAAAAAAATTGAAAAAGATCATAATGGTGGCTCTGAGTATTGCGCAATATTTAAGCATAGTATTATGGGGTGCACTCTACAATAATTTGGGTTGTGATTTTTTTTGCACCGAAGTTGATTAAAATGAGTACATTACAAAATTACAAATTTTTTTTTGAATTATTTTTATTTTGAGTATGCTGTCTTGTAGTCCATTAAATTTTAGTATAATAAGTGAAAGTTTTAAGCTACTGCAAAATTACGTTGTGAGACTGTCAAATGGAATTAAGAATATGTCGGTGTGTTTAGCTTAGGGAGAGCGGGAGACCAGGTTTAGAGTTGTGGTCGAGTTAGAGTAGTAGAGGAGGTAGTAAAGTGCAGTAAAGTACTTCTTTCCCTCGAGATATTCTATGCAGTTTTCAACTAACGGAATGGAAAAATTATCGCGAACAGTCTTCTTGTTCAAAAATCGATAATCTATACATAACCTGCCCTTACCCCTTTTTTTCTAACAAGGACCATTGCCAACGCATATGGAGAGTTACTGTACCGAGTATAACCCTTTTTTAGGAGCTCATTCATTATTGACTGCACCTCCGTTTTTTCTAAATAACATAATCTCCGAGGAGCACAGTGGAACGGCGTGTCATCAGTCAAATTTAATTTCATTTTCAAATCGTGAAGTTTCTTTTCGTCATCGGCTATAGGGCTACAATAATTTTTAATGATTAGCTAATGAAGTACTCCAAGCTATTTTCTATGTAAATCAGGATTAATGTTTATTTCTGTATACGATAAATTCTGAATACCCTTATCATCACTACTTTGCATAAGTCTGAAGCAATATCCGAAGCTTGAACGATCCTTACCACACCACACAACTTTATCTCAAATTCCTTCCCACAATGCACTGAAGGTTCCTATGTCAAAATTTGAAAACTTGTATTACTACTTTCCGAATGTTACTCCTTAATATTTTTCTTTACATCCGATTTCAGACACTGTTTACAATACTTACCAGATTTCTTTAAGTCAAACAAGTCAAATGCACCATTATTTAAGAACTTAGGGTGTCCAAATTCATTTTTGTTTTTAATAAGCAACAATTCATTTTTTGGATAAACTTTTCTTTTTGAATTTACATAAAAATATATTAAATTTTCTTAAAAAGTTACGTCCCACAAGTAGCGGCATAGATAGGTCAGAATCTGGAAGCACGGACAATTCATGTAAAACTTCCTGATTGTCAAATTCTACAACACATGAAACATTATCATACACATGCAAATTCACATTATCCACCCCAACACAGTTTGACAATTTCAAACGTCCACTCATCAAATATGGAACACATGATTTCTTGAAACTCTTCGGACTACCGGGATCAAAGAGCAGATATTTTATTTATTTTTTTAGTGCATTTGGCCTGTTTGTCCTTAAAGGGGACATTTACCATTTGCAGCTTATGAATCGCTTCGACTATAACCTCTCTTATGTACATTATTCGGACCGAGGCCTTCGGGGGATCTTCAACGGCAGCAACCAATCCTCGTTTTGGGACAAGCTTGATGCAAGTGTCCCATCGTTCCACACTTAGGCCTCTATTATGAGTTGCATTCGATCTTCGACTGTGGTCAAAAGTGCTGATCGAACAAACTTTCATTTGATATTATGGTGCTCATTCGATGAAGAATAGCGCTATTGTGAATTTCGCTCGTTTAAGATGTTCACAATAGTATATTTTTCACTGCTGATAAGCTTTGTTTACAAATCGAGTAAATTAAATAGTTAGCTGATACATATGTACATATGTAAATTTGTGCAAATTAAAATGAAATAAAAAAGAAAACGAGTTTATAAAAACGTGGTAAAAAAAATTTAATTAGTACAACGGAGTTCAGGTTGAACTATTCGTCAGAGGATGAGAGCTTAGAAAACTGGCCAGGAGCAGAAAACGTTTAAGAGAGTTTAAGCGCAGTCTTTCGAATATATTTTGACACAATATATTTAAGAAATTTTGTGATCCAAATCTATTTAAAATATATTAAAACTATAAACAGCTCTATGATTTTGTTCTCAGAGATCGTGCCAACAGCGTATTGGGATTTTCTTTCATGAGTAAAACCAGACTTTCGAGCTTGTGTTTAGTATTTACGACGATAGAATTGCATGAAATTAATAAAAATTGTTTAAAATGAGTGTCTAACCGCCAAAAAGTAAGAAAACAAATGCAAAATAATACATTTTTCACAATTTTCTAACACTTCGCTACACCAACGAAAGCAAAATTCTGTTCGACAGAAAATTCGATACTCAACGAAAATCGCGACACGCTTGCATAACTCATAATACGAATTCCACTTTCGATCTTCGATAGCCAGCGAAGATCGAAAATGGAATGCAACTCATAAAAAAAAGCCTTAAAACAGGAATCCAGTTGTAACAGCGAATTGTATCATTAAGGGCCGTTTGCACCATGTCTAGTTAACGCTAACTCGAGGTACATCCTTCAGTTAAGCACGTTAACTGCTTTATCGATCACATCTTATATGATGGGTGTCGATAACGTCGATAAAGATGTTTAACTGGGAGTTAGAATTAACTAGACATGGTGCAAACGGCCCTNAAAATGAAATAAAAAAGAAAACGAGTTTATAAAAACGTGGTAAAAAAAATTTAATTAGTACAACGGAGTTCAGGTTGAACTATTCGTCAGAGGATGAGAGCTTAGAAAACTGGCCAGGAGCAGAAAACGTTTAAGAGAGTTTAAGCGCAGTCTTTCGAATATATTTTGACACAATATATTTAAGAAATTTTGTGATCCAAATCTATTTAAAATATATTAAAACTATAAACAGCTCTATGATTTTGTTCTCAGAGATCGTGCCAACAGCGTATTGGGATTTTCTTTCATGAGTAAAACCAGACTTTCGAGCTTGTGTTTAGTATTTACGACGATAGAATTGCATGAAATTAATAAAAATTGTTTAAAATGAGTGTCTAACCGCCAAAAAGTAAGAAAACAAATGCAAAATAATACATTTTTCACAATTTTCTAACACTTCGCTACACCAACGAAAGCAAAATTCTGTTCGACAGAAAATTCGATACTCAACGAAAATCGCGACACGCTTGCATAACTCATAATACGAATTCCACTTTCGATCTTCGATAGCCAGCGAAGATCGAAAATGGAATGCAACTCATAAAAAAAGCCTTAAAACAGGAATCCAGTTGTAACAGCGAATTGTATCATTAACTGGGGCTATCGTAGCTCCATCAGT